AAGAGGAGCTTGCAATTTAGTCTAATTAACCATGTCCAGCAAACAGCAAATTTTCATCTGCTGCAATTCTACCTCCTGAAATGGGATTTTCTCCTGCTCTAATGGCAGAGGGGTGGAGACCTGTCATTCTCAAAATGTGCTATCTCTAAGGCTCTACCTTTTCTGCATTTTTTCAGTAATGCACACACTTTCTCCCTTTCCCAAACCTTTACTTATGGAAAAGAGTGATATTATCACCCTCCACTAATGCCTAAAAAACTTGAAGCTCTCTGTAAGGTTAGGATACTTGTTGAAGGTCACAGAGTTAGTAAGCAATGAGGTCAAAATTTGATGCCAATTCATTCATAACCTGTACCCTTAATTTTTCTGCTATACCACCTTAGACTTGAAGGAATCATAGTGAGACTTCAAAAATCGCTAGCCAGATAGCATTTATAAACTAAAAGTATATATACATATATATATTATTTTGTTTGTTTGTTTGTTTAAAAACAAACTACAATTGATGTTTTTCTCCAGCAAGAGACAGTCTTCTCTGGAATTCGAACTGAAGCCATAAATGTTAAGTTTTATAAATCAGATTTTAAACCAAAAATGTACTCAGTTATCCCAAATACATACAGGTAAAGTCATATAAAAGAAAAAAAAAAAGGACTAAAGAAAACATTTTGGAGAATCCTGAGGGAGTGAACATATTTATCAGATTCTCCTCATTCTAGCTTCCTCTGGGAACAAAGTGCCCACAACTTGGTTCAGGACTGTGCTTCTGCCCAGGAACTGGACACAGAGGTGTGAAATGGTGCAGCAATTTCTACTGCTCTTAGAGACCTGCAGAAGAATGTGAGGAGAATTGGGTGTACTATGTTTATAAAATAATATTCCCAAATGAAACAAATGAAAATTGATTCCTGAGAAAATGTGGAAGATAAGAATGCAAATAAATGTTCATTACGAAGACTCCATGACTTTTCTCTTCCCTCTACAGTCTTTGTTTATCCATAACCAAAATTGCATTTGGGCATAGTATTTTATCAAAAAGCTTGTGCAAACATTTTTATACAAGCCCTTTAACATCTCGTGGTTCCCCCAAAACTTTGATGTCCTGAAAAATCTAATTAGTACTGGTAACTTTAAAAGATCACAGTAATTTATTTTTGTCAAATGTGACTAAAGATTAATGGATACAATCAGGAATAATTTGGTAAAAACATATCAAACACAGAGAAAGCAAAATTTGTTGTTAAGTGAAGCATCAAATATAATAAAAGAGCAAATTCCATGAATGAACAGCAACAATGCACAATTCATTAGCCAAATGCCCATGATTATTTCACACTTCAGAGGGCTACTGATATGATCAGAAATTGTAGTAAAAAGATAAATATGGATTACCTTCAGCATCTCTTTATACATTACACACACACATAAATGTCCTACACAGATAACAAGCTTATATTTTCTAGCCTCAGAAAGGAAAGCCCCATTCCCTGTCACATTCTCCATAAGGCAGTGGAAACCTTTTCTACACTAAAGATCATTAATTCCACCCAAAAGTAGAACATCTCACTTTGTTTCATATCCTAGAATCTTCATCCTTTGTTTCTGGCTCCGAGAAAACATATCTCTTACCTTCCTGCCAAAACCAACATACACCTTCGATATTCCTTTCCTTATACTTTCTTCACAAGACCTTGTTCCACATGTTTGTCTTTTATCACTTGCCTATTAAGGTTCTCCCCCAGGACTGCCTTTTTCTTCTAAGTCTACAGAACTACTCAGATTACTCCTATCTTTAAAAAAAAAAAAGAAAAGAAAGAAAGAAAAAGAAGGAAAAGAAAAAAAAAATCCTTGGATAGACTGCCTCCCTTCTTTATATCCTATTACACCATCAAGTTACCTCCTTTCTGTTTTATTTGGCTCTAGATCTCTTGAAAGTCTATGCGCATGCCTGTTCCTTCATCACCAAACCTAATGCACTACACTGTCTCAAAGAAGCCTATTCAACAATGTCCAAAGACCTTCTCCTGGCATATCAGACCCATCCTGCCATGCCAGTCTTCTCTCACATTCTCCCTTATATGGCCTCAATGCTCCAAAATAAAACATGTGCTGTCTCCCACATGCATGGACTCCATGGTATTCCTCTTGTATGTTCCCTCAGATTGGAACACTTTTGGCAAGCAATGTTTGCCTATTAAAATTTTACCAATGCCATCTGTAGTTGTTTAAGGAACCTCCATAATGTTCTCCAAAACAGCTGTACTAATTTATAGTTCTACCAACAGTGCAGGAGGATTCCTCTCTCTCCACATCCTTGCCAGCATTTGTTATTCTCCATCTTTTTTATAATAGCCAGTCTGATTGGGGTGAAGTGATATCTCAAAGTGGTTTTGATTTGCATTTCCCTGCTGATTAGTGATTTTGAGCATTTTAGAACTTCCATATGATCCAGCAATCCCACTCCTGGGGATATATCCAGAGGACTGGAAAAGGTTGAAGGGATACCTGCCCTCCCATGTTTATTGCAGTTCTATTTACAATAGCTAGGCGATGGAACCAACCTAAATGTCCATCAATGGATGACTGGATAAGGAAATTATTGGTATATATACACAATGGAATACTACTCAGACTTAAAAAAAGAATGAAATTCTACCATTTGCAACAACATGGATGAGCCTGGAGAAAATTATCCTAAGTGAACCAACCCAGGTACAGAAAGAGAAATACCACATGTTCTCACTCATAACTGGAAGTGGAATCCATAAATAAGCAAATGAACAATAAAGAGAGACAGAGAGAAAGAAAGAAAGAAAGAATCACAGTAATACATTGAACTTGTAGAAAACTAGAGGTGGAAAATGGGAGGGGAGAGGGGCTAACGAGGAATTGGTCAACGACACAAAGAATGATTGCGTATTGTAATGATGAATAAGCTAACTATACTGATCTAAGCATCACACATTCTACACAATTATTGAAAATCAGTGCCGTACCCCACATGTATGTATAATAAATAAATAAATAAATAATAAAAAATAAACTTAAAAAATTTACCAATGCCAAATAGCTTTCCTACTCCTGACCGTTCTATGTAGATATGATTACCCTTACCTTTATACATCCATAGTTCCCCTGAGCCTTCAAAAGGCACACATTCCTTATTATGGAATTTGGTCTATGCAAACAGGCACTATAGAACTGTGAGCATTCCAAAGTTACCAACTCTATTAATAATCATCTTTGTATTCTCATGTAGTACCTTGCATGCTGCCTCATATTCAGTAGGCATTCAGTGAATATTTGCAGAATTGAGATAAAAAGAATGGTTGTATATTTCAGTACATAGCATGAAAATAACTAGAGATGCCAAGAAATATGTTTTCCTGAATCCTACCAGGGAAATGATCCTCTTTGATATAGAAAATGTCACCTGGTAAATTCTAATCCCTGGGAGGGTAGTCCAAAACAAGACTTGCCATTATGTTGGGAACGTGTCCCTTCTTTCCAACATCCTTCCCAGGCCTCTAGGGGAAAAAGCTGAGTTCAAATTACCTTGAGAAAACTATAAACGTTCTTCCCATCTGCTTTAACATGTTCAAGGATAATCTGACTCAAATTATATTCTATGGTTGGAGATAAGAGATTATATAAAAACTGGTAACAACATGGTAACAGAGTAGATTCCAGTGCCTATATTTTGAAGTTACCATTATTCAGAGTCGACAAAAAGGACTTAGGCTATGATGTGTGCATGGACTAAAACCTAAGTGTGGGCCTTTTGAAATCACAGTAATCTAGGGCACGTTTTGTTTATGTGTGCTTAAATCTCATTAAATTCATTTCATTTCCATAAGAGTACATTCTACCAGGTAACTAAGCCTAGGGTGGCTGTGGTAGTAACTTAATTGATCTGAGAATAATTATTCCATGTAATAAATTATTACCATTGAGTATGAAACTGTAATAAATACTGAACATTATGTAGGAACTAAAATAATTCAGAGTCAAAATTCCTTGCAGCAGTACCCAGCTCAATTTGATACCACAACAAATTATTTCTCCAGGACTAGTTCGAAAAGTCTTTTACCTTCATGTTAATAATAGCAGTTAAAATACTATCTACAATTTATTAATCTTTTACTTTTTGTGACAAGCACTGTTCTACATCTCTTTATGATCAGCACATTTCACCCTCACAACATTCATTTGAAAGAGAACCTTAGAGAAATTATGTAATTTGCGTGTGCACACACACATATCCCTAGTATAAGAAGCTAAGTTAGGATATATACCCAGATTTCCTTGACTCCAAACACCACACTAATACCCACAGGCAAAAAAAACCAGATTCTGTTACTAAATACTTGTATATCATATGGAAGAGCATTGCTGATCCATACCAAAATTTTTCTTTACATGTCATGTTTCCATTTTTAAGGAAATTTTCATCATGTCTTTCCTAAAGCTGACCGATAGTAGACAGGGTGACTGAGACAAAACTAAAGGTTAGCAATGGCCTTTTCCATTATTTATTCATATAAAATAGAGTGTCCCAAACTGTAGTCTGTATTTCACTGGAGAAGATCATTCTAAGAGGTACATAAACAAAAAGAATTATTTTAAGAGATTATTTCATTTAATAAATCTTTTCTACGTTTGACTGGCACACATGTGATTTCAGGTGACATACAAATATTTTTATTTCATATAAATGTCTTTACCATATGTTAGAAAAAATTCACCAGAACATTAAATCAATGAATTCACAGAAATATAAAGTTTTCTTTTTAAATAACTGAAGTGAAAACAAGTTATATTTAATTTCAAAATTGTGCAAGTGCTTATATCTGAAAAATTGTGTAAGTGCTTCACAAAGGATGATTAGGAAACATAAACAGAAATGTGACTTCACTAGCATAGAGTGCGTACATGTATTTATATTGACGAGGGAGGATGAAACCTTCACCTGTGTGACAGCCATCCACATCAGGACTTACCTCTGGTGACAGCATCCAGCGCACAGCCACTTCCTGTTGCTCCTCCTCCAATAACAAGTATATCAAACTCAGCGGTGTTTTGCAAAGTCAGTAGCTGAGCTTCTCTGGAAGGAGGCTCCCTATTAACAGGTTCTGAAATGAAATCTGCAGCTTCAACGTAGGCCAGGTTCGCCTGATATAAAAGCAAACCATTTTCAGTTGTTCATCTGGAAGGCCAATTTAATAAATTTTACAATACACTAAGAGAAGAGATTTGTAATGCAGATAAGGAATACCAGAGCTCGACCATTGTCCACAGTCCACGTGGAGTTATAGTACCAACTGCCTTGAGGGAAACAAAAATGTCCTTAAAATTCTGGGTGTGTTTCTTTTCATGATTCACAATTGTGTAGCCACAGAATGCCTGGTTTCAGATTTAATATCTCAACTATTTGTTTTAGTTTACATACAGCCAAGTTCAAGTATTTCCAACACTGTACAATAATTCCCAAATACCTTATCTAAGACAATTTATAGGGAAACATAAGAAAATGTTTTACCCAGTAGCGACAAATTCATTCAGATAACATTTTAAAATGCTGCAAAAAGGAGGAAAAACAGTTTATATCTTTCTGTAATTTCTTAAAAGTATGTTTTTCAATCCTCAATCCTCCTGACAAGAATATATTCTAGAGTTTGGGGTCCATAAATTTAAGTTCCTATAATTAAAAAGAATCTGTTTAACAGATGTTATCAATTTAAATAATCAGCTATGTCCAATGGGAGTGAAGTTTTTCAAAGATTTTAGTCAAAGTATTCCTCAAATATTTTAAGATAAAATTACATATTACATATATCTAATGTACACTATTTCAATTTTTAAAAACTTTAAGAATAATATAATTAAAGCCAGGAATAGCACCTTTAAAGGATAATGATCTTTCCTATTTCTAGTTGTTTACTGAGAATGTAATTTATAACCCTAAATCAAAAATGATACTGCTGTTTTTTTTAAAAAAAAAAAAATGCAGTTGCCAAAAGCCAGAAGTCAGACTCAAAAACCTAGAAAAATAAGTATCTATTTTTTCCAAAATGCTAATACTAGGTCCATTCACTCTAGTGTGTGTGTGTGTGTGTGTGTGTGTGTGTGTGTGTGTGTGTGTGTGTGTGTGTGTGTGTGTGTGTGGAGAGAGAGAGAGAGATAGAGAGAGAAAGAGAGAGAGAGCATACACACACACACACACACACACACACACACGTTCTGAACTACCAGGCCAGAAATTGTTCAAGAACAGGTGATCTTAGTACTTACTAAGAGATTGTTCTGATCACCCCAAATAAGTAATTTTTTATTCATTTAAACAAAATAAACCAAATCACCCCTTACACTTGGATTTAATTATTATCAGGCTATTTGGATTTTTATGAAATTAAATCTAGAAGCCATAGGGTACAGTGAAAGAACTCTGGATTAGGGTCAGAGGGTCAGAGGGTCCCAGCATGGGTCTTAGCACTCATTTACCAGCAGTGTTACTTTTGACACATTATTTCTCTGGGCCACGGTTTCTTCATTTGTAAAATGGGTATAAAACTGATGTCTCTATCTCTGCATCTCTAGGTTACTGTGAGTCTGAATGGAATAATGATATGAAGGTCACTGATAAACTACAAAGTACCAGGAAAGAGTTGTTGTTGTTATTGTTATTAAATAATTAGATTCCTTATAATAAACATATAATAAGAAACTTTCAAAATATATTTTAGTAAGTATCATAAAAACAAAAGGTTATAATCAGGTACCATAATTTTTCAGGCTATTAATTCAGATGCCAAGCCACAAAAATCTTATTGTTCATATAACTCCTCTTAATTATTTGCTAATAACCACTTCCCTATGTTTACCTTTACATACATCTAAAGTAACAAACTAAACAAATGTAACTGCTAGGTGCTACGGAGAACATAGCATCTTTCAGTTATGGTATTTTCCTTCCATCATCTAATGAGAAGAAGAAAAATATATATACATATATACAATAACAAGTGTGTGGAAAGAACAAATGCCAAAGTAGAGGGAAAAAACACCAGGCTATGACCATTCAGATGAGGGAGGGCTCATCTGAGGGCTTCAACTGTGCCATGACAGATGGGCAGGACTTGGACATGAGACTGACAAGTAACTAAACCGCCAGAGCGTTTTCACACGTCAAAAGAACTGCTGACATTTTCCGCTTGATAAGTTTTCTAGAAGTACTTGAGAAAGAAGTATAAAGACCATATTTTGATATAGTTCATTAGAACTTGGTCATACTAAAAGCCCCAATTCTATTCTAACTACGAATACTAAACTCGACTGGTTGAGTTTCCCCAAACACTACTCGTGCATGGAAAGCTACCCTGTCTCTCCTGTCTTCATCCCCTGCCTCATGCTTCTCACCAGCATGCTCTAACCTGTCTCACCTTAACAAATAATAAAAACCACCACTTACAGATCTTTCTAGCAACCACACTAAAAATTCCTGAAGCACTTGTAAACCCTTGCTCTCTTTACTGTCTTACTCCTGACTCACTCCTTCATCACTCCACTCTGGATTTCCACATACACACCAGCCACCATCACCACCAAGACTAACTGCTGCCCACTAGGCTACTAAATCCAATAAGCACACAGCTGACAGTCCCCTCACCTAAGCAACTAGGGGACAACTCTCTCCTTCTCCAGCCTCTCTGAACCACTCTCTCTTAGCTTCCTCTGGCACCAAACTTCTCTGAAGTTTGTCCTATTTACTCTTCTCAAATAACTAAGAACTCTCTCTCAACTATTCCATATGATCAAAAATCCTTTACACCACAATGACTTCTAATTTTGTTCCCCTATTTCAGAACCCAGATATCAGACTTCCTAGCTGGCACCTCCGTCTGGATGACTCACATATATCTCAAAATTGATCTGATGACCTTATCTCCTCAAACCTTCTTCTCCATGTGTCCCTCATCTCAGTAAGAGTCCCATCACACATGTAGTTGCTCGTGCCAGAAATTTTGGAAGTATCCCTGACAGCTCTTTCTCTCTTAAGTCCGATATCTGACCAATCTCTGTGTCCTATCAATTCTACCTGCTAAAAAATTCTCACAACTAGTCATTTCATCTTCACTGCCACCTCTCAAGTCAAGGTATCTTCCCTCTCCCCTGTACTAATGTGATATCTTCCCAAAGTCCTTCACACATATACCCTGTCTCCTTCCCAACCATTCTCCATACTGTAGCTGGAGCAACCATTTTAAAACCCAAATAATATCATATCTATGTATAAAACTCTTCAAGAGCTTCCAGCTTAATTTAGGTTAAAGGTTAACATCTTTATTCTGCTGAGACTCTTTATAGTCTTTTACAGCAGCTAAAATTAAAAAAGAAAAAGGACAATACCACGTGCTGGTGAGGATGTAACACAACTGGAACACTTACACTGCTGGTGAAAACACAAAATGATACACCCATTGGGGTATCTTATAAAGGCAAACATACACTTACAATACAACCCAGCAATTCCCCTGTGCAGTAGATTGAAGTATGTCCCCCCCAAACTCACTGAAGCCTGTATTGTGTCCCCCAAGTTTTATGTATTAGAAACTTAGCCCCCACTGTGACTGTTAAGAGGGTTGGAAATCCTATTATGGTAATTGAAAAGCAGAGCCTTGAAGAGGTGATTGGATTGTAGGACCCTGCAGCAGTGAATGGATTAATAATGGTGGTCAGAGCATAGTTCTGAGGGCTTTAAAAGAAGAAGAGTCTGTCTCTCTCTCTCTCTCTCTCTCTGCTTCCACCTTCTTGCAATGTGAGACCCATGGGTCACTGCTGCCACTGCCAGCTAGACTTTGCACTTCCCAGCCTCAGAAACTGTAAGCAATAAATTTTGTTCTCTTTATAAATCACCCAGTTTCAAATATTTTGTTATAAGCAACAGAAACAGACTAATACACCCTCCTACATAATTACCAAAAAAAAAAGAAAGAAAGAAAATCTGTGTTCACACAGAAACCTGCAGGTAAATATTTATAATGGCTTTATTCATAATTCCCCCCCAAATTCAAATGTCTTTCTCTTGGTAAATGACTAAACAAACTGTGCATGGAATCATAATCAACCATAAAAAAGAACAAACTACTGATACACAACAACATGAATGAAATCAAATGCATTATACTAAATCAGGGGTCAGCAAATTATGGTCTTCAGCCCAAATTTGGCTGCCACTTGTTTTTGTAAAGAAAGTTTTGTTGGAACACAGCCACACCCAAACATTTATGCATTGCTCATGACTCTAACAGCAGGGTTGAGTAGTTACAACAGAGAATGTATGGCCTGCTTGCCTGAAATATTCACTAGCTGGCCCTTCACAGAAAAGTCTACCAATCTCCATGCTAAGTGAAAGAAGCCAGACTCGGAAGTCTACATACTACATGATTCCAATGATTCTGTTTATGTGACATTCTGTAAAAACAGAGGTATAGGGTCAGAAAACAGATCAGTGGTTGCCAGGGTCTGGGGATGGGGAGAAAAGGATTGACTACAAAAAGCATGAGGGAATGTGTGAGGACATTTCTATCAAGAAATGTCCTATTGCTTGATAGTGGTGGTGATGACATAACTGCATGGACTTGTTAAAACTCAGAACTGTATGTATTATAAAGAGTGAATTTTACTGCGTTTTATATTAGACCCCAAATTATACCTCAATAAACTTGACTTAAAAAAATAATAAGCAAATATGTGTATAACACTTACATGCCAGACACTATGATAAGGGTTTTGCTTTTTCTCTACTCATTTAATCTTCACGATAACCCTATGAGTTAGGTACTATTATGATGACCATTTTTCAGCAGAGGTAACTGAGACATGGAGAGGTTATGTAACTGGCCTACGATTATACATCTCATTCACGGTAGTGCTCAGAATTGAACCTATACAGCCTGGCAACAGAGACTAAGTTTTACATTACTATACCATACTGATTCCACATACAATTTGAGCAAAAATAAAGAACTGTACTAAATAATTTTAATAGGATGAGATTTAACCAGTTGCCAAATGCAGAAAGTTGTTTTCATTTTTGTTTGTTTGTTTTTTGGTGTGGTTTTGTTGGGGAGGTTTCACTGAACAGTTCCTCCAAAATTTTTTTTAAATATAAG